TTCAGCAGCCACAGAAGAGAAAATTGCTTTGGATTGAATTGCTGTGAACTGTGCTATTTCTCAGGGGCAGGGCAGTGGAGAAGGGACAGAAGGGTGACTCCAGGTATGGCGCACAAACTAAATTCTAACCATGTCAAGTGCAGAAAGAAGAGCTGTCCCAGGATGGATCTTTAACACTTAGCCAAACATGCTCCTGAAGACAAAAGTTATGATTAATTCCACTTGTGTTATCGAACAGAAAATGAAAACAATAATCAAAAATTTGGAATGGCTGTTTTTTAACTTTTGAAAGTGAGAGAAAAATTAAAGTGTTCTAATTATATTGTCTAGGGTTTATTTTCTAATAAGTGACTCATAATCGAAAGTTCTCAGATCTCAGCCTGGAAAAGAGATCTGTTGACTCCTGGGACGGAGGCAGGCAGTAGTTCAGAAGAAATCTTGGCCCTAAGACACAGAGCTCTTTGAGACATTGTGGATTCTCTATCCAGTCACCTAGGTAAATTTCCTTTGCAACAGTGCTGGCTAGGTTCTATTTAGATCTACTCTGAAAATATGCATCTCTGGGTATCTATAATATACTTAAGAAGCTCAGATTATCTGTACCCATTGTATTTCATTAGAAGTTAATGATTTAATAAGTGTAACATTGCATCTCCTCAATCTAGTTTATAAGTCTGAGTAAGTCCTCTAAAGACTTCAGTGTGCTTACCAGGATCATCTGAAAACTTTCCTAGATCTTGCCTGATCTGTTTTAAATGACTGAGAGAAAAAGGACACATGAACGCGAGTAGTTCTAAATTCCCCATTTACTTTCTGTAGGGATGTTGTTTTTGAGGAGTGTGAGCAAAATCATCTAAGGATGGATACAGTCTCACGTTGAATCCTGGCTGGCCTAGAAACTGTGCTGTCAGGGGGGCCTGAGCCCCAGTAGAGTGGGCGAGGCTTCGATGATGGTTGTCTTGGGAGCCTAGTCCTCAGGCTCCACAGGTCCAGGCGAGCAGCCTGGCACTCATAGATAGTGGTGTGTTAAGCAGCAGGAGGTATCTTGTTTTCCTGTGGCTCACATTTACATTTTGAACAAAAACTAAGAACTATTTCTTAATGCAAAGAA